CTACAGATCACGCCCCAGGCTTCCTTTGACTACTGTCCGGTCTGCATCTCCTCCAAGAGCGGGATCTCTGTGGGCACTTCCTGGAAAATCAAGGCGCAACACAGACCGCAAAAAAGAAAAAAGCAGAAAGAAACTGGGAGTCAGCCAACGAAAACACGAACATCAATCAAGCCCCTTCTTGCACGACTGGTCCTTTGCAGAAAACCCTGATGGAAGCGAATCGGACGATCCTCTGCAGGAAGACTATCAACCATCGCCAACACCGAAAACCTCCATTCATATCAGGGGCAAAAATCATGTCCAAATCACTCCGAGTCGCACAAAGGATGAGCGCAGGCCGCTTCTCCCTCACCTGGATCCTGGTTGCCAAACCATCATGGATGCTCCTCATGGCGCAACAGAGCCCAAAATCGCCAACGGCGTATATTCACAATTACAGTCTGAAACCATTGAAAAACATGCAGATCAGCGTCTCTCTGTAGATACACCTATTTCCGCAGCCGAGCAACAGGCAGACCCGGTCGTAGCGCAGGCGTCCACTCCTACTAGAGCCAAAAGGACACTGATGACGCCAGACGAGGCGAAGCTGATCGTCCGCATGAGGCAGATTGAAGGAAAGAAATGGAAGGACGTCCAAGAACATTTTCCGCAGCGAAAACTAATTTCACTCATCCAGTGGAATCAGACGCATTGGACTGAACGGCATGACAAACCGCCTCGACTCTCCAAACCTTGGTTGAAGGAGGAGGTGGACAAATTGCAGTCTTTCAAGGACCAACAAGGTTTAACTTGGCCCCATATTCGTGCCGCCCTTCCTGGTCGTTCACACGCGGAAATAGAGTTCGCACTGTTGAGACTCTGGGCCGAGTTGGATGACGGCTCAAAGTACGGATTTTCAAGGCCTGTGGAAGCGAAGCCGACAGGCGATGGAGCCCAAATCCCGGAGCAGCCCACTCTCGACCGTGTCTCTTTGGCTAAGGCTAGAGAGCCTCGGGAACAGGACGATCCCGAGACGGAGAAGTAGAGCGTGTGAGACGTGCTCCCAGAAGTTCGATTGCGGCACGCGACACGCGATGACTGCAAACCCTGCACTTTTCTCTAAAGAGACTCCAAGAATTGCGGTGATTTGTACACGAACCGTTACTCGTCGTCTTTGGCGTTCAGAACGTCCTCGAGCTTGGTATCTACCGCACCGCCGACATCCCCAGCCTTGGCCCAGAATCGAGATAGGTGCCTTGAGCCCGAGTCAGACAGGATCGTGACGATCCTATGGCCAGGACCAAGCTTCATAGCTGTTTTGACTGCCGCAAAACCTGTATCATAGTGATTAGCAAGATAGCAGACTATGTACCGAGAATATACCCACAATTGACAGCACTGCTACTTCCAACGAAGATACCATCCTTTTCGACTAACCATCTAGCCATGGCCAACGCTTGCGCATCCGTCACCCGCACAGCATCGTCGACGAGCTCCTTTCCTGCTTCGAAGTTGGCAGTGACGCGGTTAATCCCAATGCCTTCGACGATCGTGTCAACCTGTCTTCGCCTCCTCGTGCCTTCTCTCTCCTTAACATCAAACATGACGCCGAACCGTACTCGATTGTAGAGTCCACTTCCCTGAGGATCGGCCAGCACTACACTCAAGTTTGGAATCCGAGGCTTCAAGAAGAGGGCGACGCCAGAAATTGTACCCCCAGTACCAGCGCCGGCGACGAACGCGTCAAGTTTACCGTTGCACTGGGCATAGATCTCCGGCCCCGTACCGTTGTAATGAGCTCTCCAATTAGCTTCGTTTTCGAACTGGTCTGCGAAGAAGCCTGTTCCGGCCGAGGGAGACAGTGTCTGAGCTTGAGCGAGAGCTCTAGCGCGATTAACGAAGTTGTCCTTTTCAACGATCGGTGCTGGAGGTACGCGATCTACTATTGCGCCTAATTTCAGGAGCAGGTTGGACTTTTCAATTGCTTGATCAGATGGCATGCAGCTATTGAGCGTCAGTTGCGGTTGAACAGTGCAAGTAAGCGCACGAGTCGATACTCACATGTGAGCGAGGTAACCCTTTGCTCTGGCGAGCGTGGCCAGTGAAATGCCGGTCGAACCGGACGTGCCCTCGTAGATGGTATCGCCGGAATGAGGTTTCAAGATACCTTTTTGCTCAGCCTTTGCAGGTTAGTAATTGACATGATATGGGATCGAGGCACGTATCACATACTATCTCAATCATGCTTAAAGCTACTCGGTCCTTGGAGCTCTGACCTGCTCCGTTAAGAAACTACAACAACATTAGAGACTGGATTTCTCTCAAAAATGTAGACGAATAGACAAAATAACCATACCTCTGCTTTCCCAAGAATCTCGCATCCAGTCGCATCAGACAAGGATTTGATGCGTAACAGAGGAGTGTTCCCAATACAGCCTTCAATGCCGTCGACAATTGCAGGAGGTCCCGATCTGGCCGTCAACGAGTCTGCGGTGCTACCCTGCAGGCCGGTTGTCGAGTGAGAACGAGTTCCTCGGAGGCGATGCTTCAACTCCGGATACAGAAGCTCAGTAAATCCCACCGCGAGGAGGATTCCAGCCACAAAGGCGGTTCCTATACAGACCCTAGAATGATCACTCATACTGAGAATGTATGCTCTGTGGTCGGTCAAACTATGAAAAGCACGCCCAAAATCAAAAGAGCGGCTATATAGATAGATCACGTTCGAGCAAGTGAGGTCAGTGAGGGAAGTCGGAGAAAAAGCTCGGGCCGCTTGAGGAACTCCTCCGCCAGCCTCCATCCATCATCCATCATTATCGTCATTTCTGTCAATTGCGTACTACAATATTGATTTGTATCTCGTGAAAACCCCCGCTGGTCCATCGTCCTATGGACAGCCCGATCCTCAGTCAGCTGTTTCGACAGCTGTTCCGTCATCCTGCTTGTCAATCATTAAGAACGTCGTCACCAATAACCCGCAGAGCAAATTGCGTGCGGTTGCAGGCGCCTGTCCGTCAACATTGTCGATCTTTTCTCACGCGACGTTCACCGGCCAAGCGCAGGAGTACCGATGATGGAATGCATTGGCTCAAACGAGGGGATTATCCCACGGATATTGAGGAGGAGTTGAAGACATATCCGCTTGTCACGGCGAAAGATCTGCGGAACCGTCGCGAGCGCCCGCGGCAAGTGAAGATGTTGACGAGGGAATTTATTGACGGTACGTGGCTTTTACTTGCTCTGCAGGCATATCTGTCGATATCGAATGTACTTGGAACGCTGACTAGGCCTGCTGTTTATATAGATAGTTTGTATAATCCTCACTACGGCTATTTCTCGAAACACGCGACCATCTTCAGCCCTGGGGAGCCCTTTGATTTCAATAACATCGAAGACGGGCCGGCATTCCATCGCATGCTTGGAGAGCGGTATACAGAATTCGAAGATAAGTTAGATGCGACACAGCCGGACGTAGCCCGTCAATTGTGGCATACTCCCACCGAACTGTTCCGCCCTTACTACGGGGAGACAGTCGCTCGATACTTGGTGTCAAATTATAAATTGACATTGTACCCCTATCATGACCTGATCATATACGAGATGGGAGCTGGAAACGGTACTATGATGATCAACATTCTGGATTTCATCCGAGATACAGATTACGAAGTATACCAGCGAACCAAGTTCAAGATCATTGAGATCTCGCCCGCGCTCGCCAGCCTGCAGATGAAGAATCTGACCGATTCGGTGAATGCAGCTGGGCATATGGACCATGTTGAAATCATCAACCGATCCATCTTTGACTGGGATACCTATGTACATTCGCCTTGCTTCTTTCTCGCGTTGGAGGTGTTTGATAATTTCTCTCACGATGCGATTCGATATGACTGCAGGACAGAACTTCCCCAACAAGGTGGCGTACTGATTGATGCGGACGGCGAATTCCACGAATATTACAATGCGCAACTCGACCCTGTGGCATCTCGGTTCTTGCGTGTCAGACAAGCTGCCGCTCGTCGGCCGTTCCCGAGCCCTCTGGGCCCCAAAGCTATGCGCCAATTGCGCAGTTCCTTACCTTTTCAGAGCCCTTATACCCTTCCAGAGTACATTCCTACTCGACTCATGCAGTTCTTTGACATCTTGGATAGCTATTTTCCTGCACATCGGCTGGTCGCGAGTGATTTTAGTAGTCTTCCGGATGCTGTTCCAGGTATCAATGCGCCAGTGGTGCAGACACGTTACAAGAGACGAACAGTGCCAGTGTCTACCCCCTTTGTAAGTCCTTTTGTTTCTGAGAGTACGGACGCATTCTAATCGTGCGATGACAGGTTCATCAAGGCTACTTCGATGTGTTCTTCCCCACCGACTTCAACGTCATCGAGGATCTCTACCGCGCCATTACGGGGAAATTGACACAGGTGATGAGTCACGAGGACTTTGTCCGCCGCTGGGCGTACATAGAAGATACGGAGACGAGGAGCGGCGAGAATCCGCTGCTGACCTGGTATAAGAATGCCAGCATGCTGATGACGGTTTAGACGAATGTATCAGTACTGTAAATGATATTGAATCATAAGCATATCATGAAATCCATTGCTCCAGTACCATTTCTTTTGATTCAGAGATTAACGACGTTGATTTCTTATCCCCAAGAGGTCTTGTGATCCGACTGGACGAGCTTTTAGAGACTCGGCCCAAGATAAGCATCCCCATCCGCCCTGCTCTGGGTATTCGGCAATTCAACCTTCTGCCCCTCTTTGTCCCCCGCAACAAACTCTCAGATATCACCTAGATCTGAGATACAGCTTGCCGTCTGGATTGGACGGAATATCCTCGGCGCAGGGGGACAAGGCCACACTCCCTGTTTATCTTTTATAGATTAGGATCAATCATCATGCAGCTACCCCATTATCGGCAAGCAAGGGCGTCTATGGACAGCGGTCCCGTCAACTTTCCATATCTGCAACGCCTCGATCCATCACCTCTTACACAAACTGATTAACATTATGACAATCTCACCAATGCCACATTGGAAATCATCTGTGCATCAAAAACGCGCGGCCCAACTTAGCGCCATCCCTCCCTCCTGGCGTCTCCCTTCCACAGTCCTCATTCCTCCCCTCCCTAACACTCTCGAAACCATCCGAACGTGCGGCCTCCTTTCTGCGGAGGAGCTTGAATGGACCGAGACTGACGATGTGACAAATCTGCTTTCCCTCGTGGCCTCAAGAGAGGTGAGTTCCGTGCAGTTGACCACAGCATTCTGCAAGCGGGCGGCAATCGCGCAGCAGATGACCAAGTGTCTGACGGAGATCTTTTTCGACCGGGCGTTGGCGCGAGCGAAGGAGCTGGATGATCAGTATGAGAAGACTGGTATCCTGACAGGACCTCTGCACGGATTACCAGTTTCCATCAAGGATCGGTTTGATGTGGAGGGGATGGATACTACGGTTGGTATGTTATTGCTGCTTGTATGGGACGTGGTTCTTAAGATTGATGGATGTGCGAACAGGATGGGTTGGCTTGATTGGAAAGCCAGCGCAGAGGTCCAGTTCCATCGCCAGATTGCTTGAGTCCATGGGCGCAGTGCTCTACGTCAAGACGAATATACCACAGTCTCTGATGGTATGCGTGCTGTCTCAGTGTGTCTACTCCTGCTGACGAGGCTCAGATGTCTGACTCGTACAACCACGTCTTCGGCCAGTCCATCAACGCATTTAACCACGAGCTCATCTCTGGCGGCAGCTCCGGAGGCGAAGGCGCCCTGATCGGTGCGCGAGGCAGTATTCTAGGTATCGGGACGGATATCGGGGGCTCGATCCGCATCCCGGCTGCCTTGCAGGGTCTCTACTCTATCTGTCCGACGGCGGGCCGTGTCCCGTGGGACTGTTCTTTGTGAGACTTGTTAAAGTCGTGCGTTCTGGAAAAAGAAGGGCTGACTGACGCGCCTTACAGCATGCATCAGCACTACCTCGTTCCCCCAGTCGCAGGGCCCATGGCTCGAAGCATCGCGACAATTGAGTACTTTATGCAATCACTTCTCGATTCGAGCCCCTGGGACATGGACCCAGGTTGCATACCCATTCCCTGGAGGAAGGAGTTAGCAGCCTTACCTGATCGCAAGCTCAAGTTGGGAGTCGTCTTCGACGACGGGGTGGTCAAGCCACAGCCGCCTATAACTCGGGCTCTACGCGAGGTGGTAACGAAGCTTGCAGCAGCTGGCCATGAAGGTATTTTTCGAGCTGGTGTCAAAGGAGAAGCTCAGGCTAAATCCTCGTAACAGTCATCGAATGGAGCACTACTCTCCACACACCAGGGACAAATCTTTGGAAGAAAGCTATCCTAGCAGACGGGGGCTCGCACTGCAAACACCTCTGCGACATTGTCGATGAGCCATTGATCGAAGGCATGGTAGTCGGGACTGCAGCGGATGAACTTTCCATTCTGGAACGGGAAAAGGTAGCTTATAGACACTAAATCAGGACCATCAAAGTCTACAAGCTGACGCTTTACAGCTCGAAGAAGAAAAGTGGCTCTTCCAAGAACGTTTTCTAAAGCAGTGGAAAGACAGCGGAATCGATGCGCTCCTCATGCCTGTAACGCCCTGGGTCGGGTACAAGCCGAAAACGTGGGTCAAGAGCGCCCAGTGGCTGGGTTATACGGCCCTCTGGAACCTCCTGAACTACGCGGCAGTGACGGTGCCTGTGACGAGCGCAGATCCGGCTCTAGATCAGCCCGGTCAAGATTGGCTGGCTCACACTCCTCGGAACCAGTCTGATGGGTTCAATCATGGCCAGTGTAAGTGATTCCTTTGTGCATCCAAGACTTGCTATGCTAATACATCGTGATAGACGACGTCGATTTGGTCAAGAATATGCCAATCTGCATACAGATCGTAGGAGGGCGGTTCGGGGAGGAAAAGGCTGTTGCTGTTGCGAAAGTGGTTGATGAGCTTACACATTCGTGACGGAAGTGTCATGAGAAATACTATCAGGGCTAACATCCTGATTTGCCAACTACGTTTACTATTGTTAGACTATGAACATTACAGTATCGAATTGAGATAAGTGTCATCACAATTTCGCCTGTCCTTCATGGGCATTCCCCTGCCAGGCAAACCCTATCTTCTTCCCAATGCCTGGTTCCACAATGACATTGACCACGGTGACCGTATCACTCAGGAATCCCTCCCGCGTAGCAGTCTCCAGCTCCTCTTCAGAGCGGACAAAGTATCCCTTCCCACCGCACATGGGACCGAATTGCTCGTAGCGAGTCTCGTAAAGGAGACTAGTCGACCGCAGGCCTTTTTTGCCGTCATCACGGCCGTCAGATTTGGTGTCGTTGGCCGCTGTCTGAGCCTGTAGCTCTTTCCATGAGCTCTCAGAAGCACTGTCGCCGTGGTATATGCCCGAGTTGTTCACCACGAAGATAAGGGCGGGGATTCTATAACGAGCCATAGTCTCAATTTCCATGGCGCTGAAGCCAAACGCACTGTCACCTTCAAGCGCCACTAACTTCTTCGGTTTGCCCGTAGATGCTGGAAAGGCGTTGTACGCCTCGTGAGCAGCGATGATATATCCCATTCCCACGCCCATCGTAGCATATGTCCCAGCGTCCAGACGCTGACGGGGATGATCCAGCGGGAAGACCGAACGGGAGATGTCCATAGTGTTCGCGCCTTCGGATACATACACGACGTTCCCGTCTTCATACGGCGCCAACGAATTCAGCGTCGTCTTGATAATCTGAAAGGCCCGCTGGTACGTCAAGGGGGAGTTCTTCGGCGTAGGCGTGAATGCAGCCTTCTGCGCCTTGGCTTCATTCTTCTTCGCCGACTCCGCCAGCAACGACAAGAACTGGCTCGGAACAGCCGAAGAGGCATACCGCCAGTTCGAAAGAGAAACCAGCAGCTGCTCAACCACCAAATCGATATCGCCGACGATCCCCAGCTCCGCAGAGCCCGCATTGCGACCGATCTCCTCGGCGCAGATATCAACCTGGATGATCTTCGCCTGGGGAGACCACTTAGGCGGCTCGCCAAAATGGAGAATCCAGTTCAGCCGCGCCCCAAGCACCAGCACCACGTCCGCGTGCTTCAGCGCCGTGCTCCGCGCGCTCGATACATTGAGAGGATGCGAGTCCGGCACTACACCTTTCCCCATCGGCGTCGGGAGAAACGGAATCTGCGTCTGCTCGACTAGCTTCCGGATCTCGCCCTCAGCCCTTGCATACGCGGCCCCCTTGCCGATAATCAGTAACGGCGCACGAGCCGCCTTGAGTAATTGCGCCGCCTTAAGGATCATTGCTGGGTCCCCGCTCGCCTTGGGAGGCGGCGGGACGAGGATGTCCTCCGGCTCTGGCAAGCGGAAACCAGGCGCCGACTTACCCTGGATCAGATCGGCGGGCAGGTCGACGAATGTCGGTCCAGGACGACCGTACCAGCATGTGCGGTATGCATTTTTCACGGCGCCGGCGACGAAAGCGAGAGACGGCGGTCGCACTGCGAACTTGGTGTGCGGCGTGAGGAACGAGATGGCGTCCATCTCCTGGAAGGCGCCCTTGGTGACGCCTGAGGTCTCCGCTGATCCGGCGAGTACAAGAAGTGGGAAGTTATTCGCGGAAGCATTGCCAATCTGTGCGTTACAGGAGAAATTGTCAGTCCCTGCTTGATGATTTGGTTTGGACTGGCCGCGCTCACTTACCCCAGCTAAGGCATGGAGGACTCCCGGTCCTCCAACGACAATACAAACACCAGGTCGTCCTGTCAGATACCCATAAACGCTCGCTGCATAGCTACATGCCTGCTCGTTGCGGAAAGCAATGAAGCGAATACCCAAGTTGATGGCCTCGTCTGCGACGTCAACAATTGGAATACCCACTAATCCAAAGATCACAGTGACGCCCAGATCGCGCAGCGTTCGGGCTATTAGCTGAGCACCGCTAACGACAGCCATCCTGGTGCTAGGTATAGTGACAATCCAATATGCGTCGTAGTTTAAAAACAAATATAAATATATAGATTTAAGCCCTTAAGATGAATCGAACATCTATTATGTATTAGGTATTAGATGAGTGATGGAAGGCCATCTCTGCAAAATTGAAGCTCTGGAGGATGGTGATGGATGAGGGGATGCTCTGGGGCACTTCCGAGGTTCCAAATGACGCAAGCCCGGAATGATTCCCGAGAAGTCAAGTCGTTCATTATCAACCAGCAAAATCTAAACATCTGTATCTTTTTGAACTTCCAAATATATAAATAATAATTAGATGGCTTATCATCAGCGATCATGTAGTCAATCAGCGACGGTAGACTGCGCAGCGAGACATACTACCACTGCTGGAAAAGAGACGGATATCAGCTTGCGGAGTATAACTAAGGATCTATTGCTCGACAGGGATTTCTCAAGGTATGAATCAAATTCGCTGCATGTTGACCTTGGGGGTACGAAGTAGAGACACATGGTATCCAACACATCAACTGAGACACGAAATAAATATGCCCGGTCATGCCAAATCTTGCCCGTCCGTTCTATAAGACAGAAAGCGCAGGAGGTATCATCCCTAGAACTCGAATTCTTTCCTGAACACATTCACATCCATCCCTGCGACTACCATATCAGCCAGATCCCGACGGCCCATCTGGCTGAATACACGCCGCAGCGTATCGTACAGGTTGGTGCTCTGGTTCTGGCTGATATGGAGCATCCGCTCAAGTTGTTCGTCATCAATACCGCCCTCACCACCGCCAACAATCTCGCGAGCTCGCTCCCGGCCTTCCTGTTCGACGACACGGTGCATAGACAAAGCACCTAGGAGGTGCTGTGCGGCCTCGGGATAGCAACCAATGTTGATGCAGGATACGCCAAGGTTGTACCGGGCACGGACAAAGTTGGGGTTGATTGTAAGAGCTTGCTCGTATGCCTGAATAGCCTCCTCTGAGCGACCGGAGTTGGCAAGTGTAGCTCCGAGACGGTTCCAGAGAAGGTGAAGCTGCTCCTTCTGATTCACAGTGCCCGACTCAGTAGATGCCAGCGCGGCGGAGAAGCAGTCGACAGCCTTGTCGTATTCCTCAGCACAGTAGAAGAGAACACCCAATCCGACTTGAACGTCTGGATCCATCTGCTCTCCAGAAGGTGACAGCTGGGCCGCCTTGATGAACAGATCGGTGACCCGTTCATGTAGAATCTGGCGATCTGTGAAGCCCAAGTCTGCGTCGGATGACAGATCTTTAGGATCGATGATCTGTGGATACTTGACAGAAAGCCAACGCTCGAGGGTCCGGTACGCTGTCGAGTCATAACCTTCGTTTGTATACGAAACAGCCAACCCCATGAGTGCGTCCAGATTGTTGGGATCGACCTTCAGCGCCTGTTCCAGGGCACGAATAGCAGGAAGCTCCTTCTCATTTTGCGCCTGTGCGGATCCCAGCATTGTCCAAGCTTGAACGTGCTGAGGGTCCTTCTGAACAGCCGCCTCGAACGCCAGCGCGGCCAAGGAAAGATTGCCGCCTTCGCGCATGATCTTGACGCCTTCTTCGAAGGGGTTGGCCACATTCCGGAACACGTTTTCCTCTTCGAACATGTAATCGCCCAACTGAGGATCTCGGAAACGCGTATGGAGATTGTCAAAGCCGTCCCACTCACCAAGGTCTCCCATGTGCATGCTGTCGTTAATATCGAAAGAGGCATCTTCCTCCGCCAGTTTCCTGCTTGCCGCCGATTCAGCTTGGACTCTTTGCCATACGCTCTCAAAAGCACCGTAATCTTGAGCATTACCGGTGTCAGTAGTGGGGACTGACCTATCGAGATCATTCAGCTCCGCCTCCATAGCCGCGTTGGCCTCATCGTCCAGGGTCTGGTTGCCCGCCGTCTCCATCTCGGCAAACTGTGCCTCCCAGTTCTCATCATCGAGCTCGACCATGCGGCCCTTGCCCTTGTCCTGAGTAGCGGCCTCCGCTGGCTGTTGTTGCATGCCCATGGGTGTATAGGAGGGACGCATCATGCCCATTCCTCCCATACCCATGTACCCCATGCCCATTGGACGCTGATAACCTGCCATCATCGGCGACGCGGACGTGGCTGGACTCGACGTTTGTGGCAGGCCGACCCGACTCTGTTGTTGAAAGCGAGCAAACTCTGCAGGTGTGAATGCGGACCCGTTGTTCATGAGAGGTCCTGTAGGGCCGGCAAAGGCAGCCTCCATCCGGGCATGTTCGCCAGTATCAAACTCAGCAGCCCACCCGGGAGACCCCGTCCTCGGCGGAGTGGTCTGGAAGTGATCTAGCTCGCGCCTTAATTGTTCCATCGCAAATGGTTGCGGTGCTGCCCCCGGAATCTGGCCTGGTTGTTGTGCGGCGAACTCGTCCATCATCTACTTAGATTACCAATCCATTGTTAGCTAGAATAACTAGCTGCGGCTTCAAAGAGAATGATATTTTCATACCTGATCCTGACCACCCATCATACTCCTCGACCGCATACTCTCCTGCATGCCCCCGGGACCCCTACCAACAAGGCGGTCCCGTTGGAGTGACTTGTCGTCCTGCACATGCTTTGTGAACTGTGTGAGCGGGTTTCCCGCGGTAGAGCACTCAGCGCCACCAAGGAACGACATGTTGATAAATTCGCAAGGAGCCCGTCTAAAAAAATAACATCAATAGTTAGGAAGGATTTGAATAATCCAAGATCAGCTTCAATAGACTGTAGGATAAAAGGAAGGAGGAGGATGGGGAGGTAGATGGCAACAGTATCTCCGCCAAAAACGTGGGGTTTGAAACCGATCGGACAGTTGCTGATGCCGAGGTCCGCTGATAAGTCACGTGATTTGATATAAGGATGTTCCTATCCATTATCTACTGTCCTACTCTGGAGTAATCATTACGCCAAGTCGTCTCATCAGGTGTAGGCGATTATTCAGATGTTTCTCACATTAAGAGATACCGAAGCTCTATGTTGTATATAATACACTTGTGAATGCCTGCTATAGTATACATCTTATGCAAAAACGTACATCATTCGTCGAATTTTTGCAACACAACCAAGCCGATCCCATAAAAAGAGGCAGAGCCCAACTCAATGAATAATGAGACTGATTAATGCTCATCCGGGACCTCCTCGATACGAGTACCTCTCCTGTTGGTATTGCTGTAGTCCACGCGGATTCGTCGACCGAAAGGTGCCTTCGCACTGAGAATCTCGAAAGCCTTCTGAGCACTCTCGACATCGAGGAATTCAGCATGAGCGAAGCCGCGAGGCTGCCCTGTGCGTCGATCAACCGATACCCGAACATCGATCACATTGTCGATATCCTTGAAGAGCTCGTTCAGATCCCGATCGGTCATCTCAAACGACAGGTTGCCGAGGTACAGCGTCTTCGAAACGGGCTGCAAGGGCCTGGTTCCGCCTCCGCTGCTCGCATATTGCGCGGATACACGGCGGCCCTCATAGTTTTGCAAATGCATAGCCTCGACGCAGCGTCTGGCGGCATCAATAGAATCAAAGTGCACGTATGCAAACCTTTTCGGTAAAACAAGACACATTGTTAGAATTCTCCTTTCCCGCAGAGAACAGTAGGAACTGGACTCACCCTCTGCTCATTCCTCGGTTATCAGTAATGAGATCGACTCTCTCCACAACACCAAACTTCTGCATGTGGTTCTTCAAATCTTCCGCCGTCACATCATAGAAGAGATTACCAACGTATACTGTCTCTTTAGGCGCGGGGGGTTCTGCCATAATTCGGGACCGCTTCTTAGATCTCAGACGCTGCGCATCGCGAACATCGGACTCCGCCGAAATGTCCGAAACATCATGATTCTCGTCCTCTGGTGAGCTCGTCGGATCCCGGCTGGCGGTGTTGTCGCTGAACCATCTCGTATGTAATGCTAATTGAGATTTCAGAGGGGATAATACGGGTAGAGGAACGCGAGGTGCGAGGGCCCTGGCTGACAGTGCCGGCGCGGTGACCGGCAGAGCCAGGAGGCGACTAGCTGCTCGCCGAAAGCAATGCCTGTAAAGAGAAGCAATCAGTCACGTCGTCCTTGATAGAGGAATATCTATCACAGCACTCGTATAGAACAAATAGGCCATTTCCTTACATTTTCTGTGTCGTGGTGAATTGAGTTGGGAATATATGACTGAGGGCAATGGCAGATATACAAAATCGCGTTCAGCAAAAAGTTCGCCTTATCGGATTTGATAATGTCACGTGATTGTGTCAGGTCACGCGCCATTATGAAACTGATGGATTTTATGAATGAGAGAATGGAGAGAATGAAAGGCTTGAACATTTTCATCAGAACTTTTCTTGTGCGAAGAAGAATGAAACTAACCTAGTGCCAACTACTGAAGCAGTAATTCACATTGAAATTCTGGGAATCGAGTGGAGAAACAGGATATATACAGCCTTCCAGATTTGTACATTTCCAGACATCCCCAACAACAGCGAGTGTGATTTGAGTCCCGAGGATACGCCACACCTCCAAAACCATACACCGGGGTGGGAAAAGGTAATCTTGCTGAAAAGAAATGAATCGCTGGACAACTGAAAGTTCAAACAAAGTGCTTTTGCGATCGACATGAGTACTATCATAAGGTGCCCTCGCCTGAAGCGTTGTTGCTTTTTTGAGAAGAGTTGTTGTCGTAAGGCCCGTTAAGGCCCGGACTCTCATACTTCACCGGGTCTGGCGAGAAGACATTGGAAAAGCGAGGCAAAGGCCGCATATTATCTGCAGTGTTGCCTTGCTGCATGGACGGTAATTGTGTGGTTGACAAGGATCCCTGACCTTGTAACGATGGGTGAAGTGGCGGTTGTGGTGATGGTTGCTGCTGCTGTCCATCGAACGTTGGCCACCATTGGTTCGGTATGTCGAGATTCGAAGTCTGAATATAAGTGTCCCAAGAATCCTGTTCGTGGGTGTTAGTAATGTCCAAATAATGTCAAGGCATGAAGAGGGGCAAGCGTACCCAATCCAAGTTCAGCTGCATATCAGGCAATTGTCCAAACATTGTGCTGAACGGGGACAGAGCTCCAGGAACCTCTGCCGAGGACCCAAATGCCCCCGGGGCAGAAGGCGTTTCTGACAATTTGAAACCAGTTTCATTGAATGCTGGGGATCCTGAGTTTGCGGCGCTCAGTCCACTGCTCAATAACCCCAAAGTCATTGCGGCGCTTTGCTTCTCGTCCTGAGGTTCGAAGGCCGGCGCAGTGGCATTACTGTCTGGAAACCCTAAATTCAATTTGGCAAGCATCACCCCGATAATGCCAGAGGCTTTCCAAGCTTCAAGTGACTCGTCACGAAGTTCATCCCAAATCTCTCGAGAACGCTGTAATGCCATGATCATCTCCTGTCGTCGCTCCCTGCCCCACGCAAAGGGGTCGCCGGAATCTCTTCCCCCGGCTTGCAGCTTGAGTCCATGATACAGGTCGAAGCAGACAATAGTTGCAGCAAGCAAGTAATCAGTGGAGCTGAGGGAATTTACGCGATTCTGTTTTGTGCGCAGACGTCCCGTCGGCCTTGACTCCGCGTGTAGCATTGACTGAAACTGCAGCAGCTCCATGGCTGAATCGATACAAGCCTTGCGTGAGTAGGTGAATCGGGGATTTCCACGGGCTAGAACGATGTAAGGCCGGTGGAGGACACACTGCGCTTTATGGTAGACGCTCATTATCTGTCAAGGATCAGTACTACAACTCACGGTATAATTGGCAATTGATTTGACATACACCGAAGCGCGACATAATCAGATTGGACGGGTCCAACTGACACTCCTCAAAAGGACGAATGACAAGGTGCTCCGGAATCAGGTCCCGAGCTCGGCGAAGCTCAGCATCCAACTCCATCACCTTGTCGTAAGATTCACTTTGCACGCTCGAGGTGAGCTCGGTGACTCGGCCAAATACGTACGCCAGACGGGCTTTGGCGATGAGGTAAGAGATAGGTGTCGGTTCATTCGGCGGTCGTGAGGGAGGAAGTTCCTTGCAATTTTCGTCGAAATCATCATCATACAGATTCCGCGGAAGCTCCGTGTCACTATCCACAGTGCGAATCATGCTGGGAAGCCCAACCTGAAACGAAAAGAGCAAATCCGATTGCCGCACGAAAGTCCATACGCGTCGGCGCATCTCACCTTGAAATGGGCTAATGTTGGGAAAAACTTTTGAGTCCCGATGGTAGCCCATTCTCATCGCTAGCCTCGCGACGACACCTACAAGCACCCAGACGGAAACATCTGCTTCCTTCGTTTGACGAAAGTCACCATGAAGATGGAAGATGAATGTCTCGATCAGGTAGGGATAAGGTTTGGTATAATCGGCCAGAGTCAGACATTGAGCGACCAGATTTCGAAAAGTGCCAGCCATGTCCAAGGACTTCCCTCGAAACTCGGGTGGCTCGTCCCCTTCCTGGTTATATGACAGCATCGCGAGTCGCATCATGGCGAACAGCATGCCCACCCAGACAATGCACGTTTGAGAAGGATCTTCCCAATGTTTGTTATACTGGGGAGGAAGTCAGAAGGAATAACCGCCTGCAGGAGAACATTAATGCTTACCTGAGCTTGAAACGTCGGACCGTGAAGAATATCTGTTCATGGTTAGTCATAGATGCATTTACATGCAAGGTTCTCTAGTTCTGTCGGTACTCACGAGTCGCTGGATCATAGCTATTGAAATAGCGAGCAATAAGCATATCTGTTGTATATCTCGAGGGAAAGGAAGACATAATCTCTGCGCGGCTGGCAGGCTTCATGGCCCCAAGAAGTAGCGTGGAGCCCGGGACATTGCTCGGCAGCTTGGTTGTCTTGAGCTTCTCGGCTTGCTCCTCATACTGCTTCTTGTGCGTGTGGAAGTAATTACGAACTTCGGCGATCTGTAGATTCATGTAAATAAAGAACTTATGAGCGCATGGTCAAGAGCTGACTCACATCGTTGAGGAGGGAAGCCCAGTGCGCATCGCTGATATAGTATGATGATTTATTGTTGTCAACTTTCATGATACCAAATGACTTGGTAACTTGCTCCGTATCGCTCTCCTCCGGAGCATTTGATGTCTCGTCGTCCAGATCGATGTCGTGACCCTGAATGAGGGAGCCCCCACTACTGCTGGTTCCGGAAATTGCTGCCATTGCCGCTGCCGGGCCTGCGGACTGCGATCCGTTTGTCATCAGGGACAGTACCAAGCTCTCGAGTCGGTCTATTCTGTTCTGCATATCGTCTGGGGAACTCGAGGCTGAGTTCTGTGTTGCATTCTTCCTTCGCGCGCTTGCTTGAGCATAGTTACAGGAAGAAGCATCGCCTCGCTTTACGCAGTTCTCGCATGGGTGGGCGCGGTTGCATTTCAGTCTTTCATGACACGGTGTTAAAAGTATGCTCTTCCTTCAGATAGAGGACAAAGGCGAAGACTCACTTTCTATGCCGGCAGGGGCCGCAAGAAAGTGGCACCCTGTTTCGCTTCCGGATGACCCTAAAGTGGCCTTCTGGCGAAACGGCGCCGACGCTCGAAGAGGTAGATGGTGGAGTAGGCGACATTTCGGAGATGAGACCTTGGTAAACGGTGGTGCTAGATTTGTCGATATGTATTCGCTCGTGGGCCAACTAGCTTCACGTCACGATCGGAAATCCAAATGAGCACGGCGCAAGAGCGAGTTTCGAACGAGACCTGGCACCAAGTGCTTGTCTGAGACTGGGGTATCTCAATCCTGGTGTGAATGTCCGTCCGGTCTGTGGCGCGCTCGATTTGAGAGGTACCTGACCAGAGGTGTGCACAACGCGGTCTCTTCGATTTGGGCAGACTAAATTTTCTCGAGATACCGAGAAGAGGGCGCAGGTTCAATTACTGCTGAGTTTCTGACAGCGTTTCGGCGGACGGTTCAGCAGCGAACAATGAGCCTGAATTGCTAAGCTTTAGTGGGGTTGATAGGTTGCGGCGGCGTTTCCTCAAGTCGAGCTTGTTGGTGATTTATGCGACACTGCTTTCCTGCTGTTGATAGCATGCGCAAACATCACAGATATGAAGCGCATAAGCTATTGTGCGTTAATAATAAGAATCGCAGAAGGCGACCGAAGACAGGGAAGTGATAGTGTGGATGGATGGGCAGACGGGCACAAGCGGTCGACGGGCTATCAAGTGATTTCGTCGAAAAAGGGGGGCGACGGACCAATCCTTCATTCTTCTTGGATATGGCGACCCGCGGAAGAGATGGACATTCACTCAATAAGATGCGCCAGCTCTCGAGAACGAGTATTAATGATACGGGCGAGAAAAGGAATAATGAAAGGATGGTCAACTGTGGCAGAGTGCCAATGATGATGAGGATGCAGATTACCTACGGATTATCTCCGTTATCACCACGTTTGCTGCCTCAGGCCTGGGCGCGTTCCTTACTGTGGGAGGCTTCTACTAAGTACTTCAAACCTGATAATAATAAGTGATCCTTTTTCATCGACTACTGTGTCCACTGAGCTTCACCAAATATTGATAATGGCCCTTTATCATGTGCAATACGGGCAGTTCAGGCATGAAACAGACTAGATATCCTCGATGCAGGGCTCCAGGCAGCTACCTAGTTACGCAGACATCGCAGCAAAGGGTATGGCAAGGGACACATTCCAGGATCTAGGCCATCGCATCCTTTTCCGCCAGTTTCTTTGTGCTGAAAAGGAGAAGGGAATAATTTGATTTGTCGATCGCCCAACGCTAGGTAGATATATCCAAGGTACCTCTCTAGCTTCAAATTGCAATGAGTCATCGAAAAGCCACTAACTAGATAAACTAAATAGCACAGCCGCACCGCCTGTACGCTGCCGTTTCCACTTCCCAGTGATCCAGTCAGCACCAAGCAACCAATTAACCATTGAAATAGCGAGTGCCTTGTCCGAGAAAGGCTTGTTAAGTTGTTGGTGGTCTAAGTGGCTGCTGTGCGTCGACACTCGACAGCAGGGAAGAACCTCTTCAGTCTTACAAATACCTAGTTACGGAGTAGTAGTACCTTTGAGGGACTTCAGCTTGAGTACCAAGGGATCCATGTCTATCAGAAAATGTCTACGAAGTACTGCATACCTACTTATCCTGTCAAGACACAGATGCATCAAAGAGTGACCGGAACCGCTGGGAAACGGACGTCATTCAGTGCGTGCTTTCCGCCTATTCAGCAGACCAATTCCATCTTGTTGCGAGAACCCTGAAGTAATCTTCAGACATTGTGCCTACTTCAAGCAAGACAATCTCACAAGTCCATCTAGTGTGCTGTCAACCATCTCCCAAGCAAGCTACAAGGCAAGGTAATGGTCGAGCAACAAAGACCTGTCTGTCATTAGCCACCCTCCTACATTATGTGATGCGCACTCCAGGTTTCGATTGGTCTGAATCGCCATAAGGGATGTGCAATTCCTTTGCCAATTCATTCACTTTCTGACCAGTTGCATATAGCCGTAGTAACCGCCTGATGTGCAATATATAAAGCGCAGCCAAGCTTTGGAGCTGGGTATAGCGTTAAAATGTCCCCAGCGCTTAACCCAATCTTCCTTAGACCAATCTTTCTCACAATTTAGTTTTCTTCCATACAACTGGTGGAGATCACCACTAGTTCCTCTTCAGGTTCAATTCTGCCATGTCGTCAAGAGGTGCTGGGGATTCCCAGCCTGGACGGGGTAGAGGAGGCGACCGCGGACGGGGACGCGGTGGAGACCGAGGCGCCTTTGGACGTGGAGGCGGCCGAGGACGAACCATGGAGCTTCCATTCCGTCCAAGCGAGTCAAGAGGCGGTTCTTTTCGAGGAGACTCAAGAGGCCGTGGAGATGCACCCAGAGGTCGCGGAAGAGGCGAATTCAGAGGTAGCGGCAGAGGGGACTTTGGAGGCAGAGGACGTAGAGGCGGGGGCTTCAGAGGTGGCCGCGGCGACCAAGGGCCCAGGATATTCTCGTAAGTTGGCCGTCAGTTCTTTCTTTTTATATATAACAGCGCATGGTTGATTCTTTTCCATTGATTTAGTCACGGTGGCCGGGTTGTTGCTCCTAGCCCAAAAATCGAGCAGACCGAGGCCGCCATAGCCAAGGCTCTGGTAGCCAAACGACAGAAAACTGTTGGCCAAGCTCGTTACCCAGAGCGTCCAGGTTATGGAACTCAGGGTTCTCCAGTGACTCTCTATGCCAATTACTTCGAGTTGAAGGCTGTGGGAAAGGAATTGTTCCGTTATAATGTCGATATCGTCGCCGATTCAGCTAGAACCAAGCCTACTGGAAAGAAAGCCCGACAAATCATCCGACTCTTACTGGACGAGCACTTCTTGCAGTATCAGAAGAGTATTGCCACGGATTACAAGTCCACCCTTGTCTCTAGGGTTGAGCTTCCCAGTCAAGGACGTTACAACGTCCGTTACCGTGACGAGCACGAAGATGACTACCCCGAGCAGCCTAGGGTTTACCGTGTCAACTGCCAGTTCACTGGTAGACTGAACCCCGGCGATCTCCTTGACTATTTGACGTCGGCGAATGCCTCCGCCATGTTCGATTCCAAGGCGGAGGTCCTCCAGGTGATGAGCATTGTCATGGGCCATCATGCGAAGACAGACAGGGCCGTTGCGTCCGTTGGTGCAAATAAACATTTTCCAATCCATCCAGATGCAGCAGAGAGATACGACCTTGGCGCAGGCCTTGAAGCCTTGCGAGGCTTTTTCGTGAGCGTTCGGGCTGCGACTGCTCGTATCTTGATCAATGTCCAGGTCAAATACGCCGCCTGTTACCAGGAAGGGCCGCTGGCAAATGTGATCAACGAGTACCAACGTGGCAGCAATCGAAATATCTACAAACTGGAGGCTTTCCTGAAGAAGCTGCGAATCCAAGCAACCCATATCGTCAGGAAGAATAAGAAGGGACAAGTGGTACCAAGAATCAAGACCGTTGCCGGCCTCGCAACTCGGGCTGATGGCGCGTCGCTTCCTCATCCCCCCAAGGTCGCAAGGCATGGGGCTGGCCCAAAAGACGTTCAGTTCTTCCTCGAGGCGCATGGACAGAAAAGTGAGCCTGGAGACTCCAAGGGCAAGAAAGGCAAGAAACCTGCGAAAGCTGGCCCAGCGCCAGCCGGGCGGTACATCACCGTCTCGGATTTCTTCTTGCAAGGTAAATTCCCCTATACGGAAGAAAAGACATTTGACAAAAACAGCACTGATCAGACTGGCAGAGTACAAAAAGTCTCTGGATCCCAACATGCCGGTGGTCAACGTTGGCACCAGGGAGAACCCGTCCTACTTGCCTGTTGAAGTCTGTCTGGTAGAACCCGGACAGCCTGCAAAATCAAAGCTTACCCCAATGCAAACGCGCAATATGCTGAGCTTCGCCGTCCGAAGTCCTGCTTCAAACGCAGATTCGATTGTCTCCAAGGGCACTGCTGTCCTCGGCCTCAAGGATCCCCTTAACCCCACCCTTGTAAGTTTTCTCTAATCAGTGTCACGTTAGGTCTTGTTGATTGATTGATCATATAGGCAAATTTTGGCATGCAACCAGGTCCCCAGCTCGTTACTGTTGCCGGTCGCGTTCTCTCTGCGCCGCAGGTATACTACAAGGACGCCAAGTCGAAACAGAGGCACATCGACACCATGGATGGCAGCTGGAACATGAAGGCAATCAAGTTCTCCACACCTACAAAGCTGCCTTCTTGGACTTGGCTCTATATTGACAGTGAAAGGGGCAGACCTCACTTTGAGAACCAGAGTCAACTGAATGCTTCTCTTCAGGCCTTCACGGCCAAGCTGAACGAGATTGGTGTTGCTGCAGCGGCTCCCGAGCCCGGAATGATGATCAGGTTGACTGGAAGTGACCACGAGGGAGAGATTGACAGAGCAGTGGGCGAGCTAATGGACCTATACAATCCCACTCTCATCCTCACCATTCTCTACAGCAGCGATGCAGAGGCCTACAACTGCATCAAGCAGATCTGCGACGTTCGCCGCGGCGTCCGCAATATCAACGTCCTCGCCGAGAAGCTGAGAAGAGCCAACGACCAGTACTACGCCAACGTCGGCCTCAAGTTCAACCTGAAGCTCGGCGGAGCCAACCAGACCCTCAAAGCAAGCGAACTGGGCATCGTCGCCGAGGGCAAAACAATGCTTGTCGGGATCGACGTCACCCACCCGTCGCCCGGCTCCTCCGCCCAAGCCCCCAGCGTCGCCGGCATGGTCGCTTCCGTCGATGCATCCCTGAGCCAATGGCCCGCTGACATCCGCATCCAAGCCTCCCGCCAGGAAATGGTCTCCGATCTGGACGAGATGCTCAAGGCTCGGCTGCAGCGCTGGGCCCGCGCAAACAAGAACGCTCTCCCAGAGAACATCATCGTCTACCGCGACGGCGTCTCCGAAGGTCAATACGACGTCGTCATCGAGCAGGAACTGCCGTTGCTGAAGAAGGCCTGCGCAGAGACCTACCCAACCGCAGACACCAAGAAGAACCTCCCGCGCATCTCCATCGTCATCGTCGGCAAACGCCACCACACCCGCTTCTACCCCTCCCGCGACGAGGACGCCGACCGCTCCGCCAACCCCAAAAACGGCACCGTCGTCGACCGCGGCGTCACAGAGGCCCGCAACTGGGACTTCTACCTCCAGGCTCACACCGCCATCAAGGGCACCGCCCGCCCCGCCCACTACTTCACCGTCTGGGATGAGATCTTCGCCCGCCAGAAACCAGTCGCCCCCTTCCAGAACGCCGCGGACATCCTTGAGGATCTCACCCATCGTCTGTGCTACCTGTTCGGCCGTGCCACCAAGGCTGTGAGTATCTGTCCGCCTGCCTACTACGCCGACCTCGTCTGCACTCGAGCCCGCTGCTACCTGAGCAGTGTCTTTGATCCAACGACGACGGCTACCCCGTCTGCGAGTGAGATTGCGGGGAGCGGACGTGATGGGCTTGCGAGGAGTAGTGATGTTCAGATCCATGCGAATGTGCGTGACACCATGTTCTACATCTGATGCATTAAAATCGTGATCTGTTGCCTGCTCCATTGTCAGTTTGGGGGGAGCGAATGGACTTTTGCCAAGTCCATACTGTTGTTCGTTACGCGCCAAACTGTCTTCCAGTTGGTTATCCCATAGCGAATCAGATTGCGAGTCTTATTCTACCTGCTAGTTCAAAACCGTTTGGGTTTAATCTTTCGTACTATTCTATATTCAGGGAGCAATTCATACACAATCCTGGTACCTGCACTGGCTTAATACATTGATGAGTCTGTAAATGAAATAAAGGAAAAAGGACAGTATGAAATGCACGAGAAGAATGGAAGCAGAGTACACAGACGGAGGAATGGAACGAACAGGTTGAGAATGAAATAAAATCATGGATCCGTGCAGGCATTGGCCGTTAATCGATGTTTCGGACTCATAGTGCTCGTTCATGGAGACATGGTATCACTTTAGGAATTGGACTTCGACAATTGTCGCATATGGGCTTGAGTTCGAGCCGGTAGAAACAAGCCGCGCTGAGAAGTTGGGCTTCCCAAATCATATGAGTGGTTTATTCCTCATCGCCAAAGCCCCAGTGCTTTTCATTGACGTGGCGCAGCGCACGACGCTGAGGCGGAGGTGCAGTTTTACTGGGCTGCGGAGACTCATCGTATGCTTCCCAGGAAGACTCCATCATCTTAACGGCCATCAAGCGATCTGTCCCCATTGGCTTCTGGTTCTCGTGGCTGACCTTGCCATCGGCCGGAGAGGACCCGGTCATGCTCCAGTGAGTCTCAAAGTCCTTCTTGCGATTGCCGCCGTTTGGGACGACACCAAGTGGTGCTTTCTCCACCGCATTCTTTCCAGGAGACTCTTCTTCATTGTACATGTGGGTTTTGTAGAGATTAAGACCCTTGTTCTGGAAAGAGCTGATAATGCGGGACTTGTGCTCCTCGTCATCTTTATCTCTGAGGTCGAAATGCGTTTCTGCATCACGTCTGGGCTGCACTACGAAAGGCTTCACAGGAGGAGTGGGCTGAACCTCGTCATCGCTCCATCCAAAGTGTCGTGCTTCCTGAGGACGGGGCTGGCGTTTAGGCTTCTCTGGTGTTTCAAAATCCTCAAAATCCCAGTGAGGGACATGGCGCGACATGGGGCGGCCGGGTTTCGACTTCACTTCGCGTTCGCTGTTATCGGCGCCGAGCTCAAAATGATCAAACCGTTTCGGGTTGGTCTTGTAGGCGATTTGCTGCTTAGCCTCTGCGGCTGCGGCTTCATCATCCTCGAAAATACGAGAAGCGCGATAGTTCTTGCCTGCGCCCGCTTTGGGAGCAATGGCCCGGGATTTAGACGGCGTAGCCTCCGGTGCATCGTTTTCGTCGTCGCCAACAAAGAGTTCGCTGTAATCACGCGGTGGGGGCTTTGCGGATGCAGGAGCACGAGGAGCACGTACCGGCTGAGCGCGATCCTTCCCAGGCGACAAGAGTTCTTCCAGAGACTCTGCCGCGTAGGGATCCTTGATATATCTCTTCGAAGGAGAGGCAGACTTTGAGCGGATTTCTTCGCTGTTTTCCTTTTTGGAGGCCTGAGAAGATGCAGGACCCTTACTTGCGGGCGCACAAGCGACGGCAGCTTTGATTAGACGTGTCTGGTCCTTTGCATCACGAATGGGCCAACCCCGTCCGCGAGCCCCGATAACATCAACCTGTTTCAAAAGTGAAGCCTGGTCCCAGTATATTCTAACGTTCTGAATTTGGTTCTCCGAATCGAAGCGCACGATGTGGACCTATCGAAGCACATCAGGAGGTTTAGCTGAGTGGACAATGCAAGGAGCGTCAGGAATTGAGAACATACCGTGGGGAAAGATGCGAGTCGGTCGGCCAGGAAGTTATCGTCAAGAGAGGGGAGATAGGCCCCGCCTCCAGACACAAACTCCAGCGTAACCTCTACATCCAAGCATAGAGAATCTGAACCTTCGATTGCGCCAATGATATCTGCGGATTTCTTCTTCACGACGGTCTCTTGCTTCGTCAGATGGCTGACGATCGCATCGGCGCCGTCGAATTGGGTAGCCGTGGTGACATAGATTAGGGAGGCATTGGCGGCCAAGGGAACAGACTTTGGATTCGCAAGGAACCTTTGGTACAGGTCCTTGAGAGACATGATTCGATTCCAGATAATTTCAAGATTCAAACGAGCGTGGAGGATTGAAACGAATTGATGAATGAAAGTTATGGAAGGGGTCGTTCAGAGATGATTGGATCGCAGTCGTTCGCAACAGTGGGCAGGACGCGGAACTGTTTATGATGGAGGACACGAACCACAGTTTTGCTCGAGCCTTTCCAGAGTCTGTCAATCAATGGTTCACTTGCGCATTCAACAATAATAGAAACCCGGGAGACGGAGAAGTCGCCTACCTTAAGAGTTATGTAGAAGGGAATGAACTCTGGTATTTGAGAATGTGGCAGAGAACCACCGACGGAATATGTCAGATCAAACACTGATGAACAAGGAAACCGTGTCTCTCAAGAAGGATGTAGACTAGATAGTGAAAGGACAACAAGTACAATGGAAACGAAGTAGTATTTGATTGACTGGAAATGCAACGCGTCCGTAGGAAGCCGCTTTATTATTAGCTATCAGCCTGAGAAGTAAATAATACAACTAGAGTAGTAAACTACACAGGGAAATTATGGCCCGGGAGGCATCTTTCGCAGGACAATCACTATAAAAATAACGGGATGGCTCATACTGTCCAGTGTTCCATTATTATTATGGAGTACCTCTGGGTAGCCTAGGTACACTGCACTTGGGAGTCTGGAATGATGAATCTAACAAGACCGGGGTTCCATCAGCATCTGGACAATCAAACGCTGTTGTTTGCCAGGCCAAGCAGAAGGTTGGATAGTCTCGCGCACGGCTCCATTCTCCCAAGAAGGACCGCACCAGTGTTTCACCACCTCGGCTACAAAGCCACACTACAGAAGCATCGTCTCTCGGGCAACTACGGGGCCTTTGGTCTCTCCTTGTTGGTGTTTAAGGCTAAGTACTAAGCTGTGCTCAAAGCTATGGAGAGCATTGGAAGCTCTACACATAAGTCTGGATTGAATTGTGACTCGAATGGTTGTATATTTGGCTCTAACGTTCGTATGTCAGTGGACAAGGAGTATTTACCATGGTCAATGGGAGCGACGATCTTCAATTCCCTGTTGGTGATATATCCCAACTGAGTGCATGTTTTGAGATGTACTTTGAAGCTCTCATATCGGAAGCAGATCTCCAAATGGGCACTCAATAGCAAAAGACTCCGATGCTCTCGTCGTAGGCTACTTTGCAGCCTTCAAAACCAAGACCATACGCGTGCTTTTTTCGGATCCTTTCTTCAATAGTATAAGCTGAACGCAACCGCTCTCCCAACGGAGAAGAGTACTCAGGCTGCGGGGATGTTTGAGGCATCGTACTGTCCACTTCATGAGCATATTATCTGAGACGATTGGTCCCTTCACTCCAATCATCCATGTACTCAAAATCATAGTATGCCTCACGGGGAATATTGTGATGTGGTGTTAATATTATCGCAAGTGTTTATTAGGTGGGAAAGAGGGGTGTTTTTCGGCTCCTCAAATGTGTCATTATAATGGTCTAAAGCAAGTCAAACAATGATTAGTGACGACGCTCTTATGATTAGGATACGCAGATAATGCACTCACCCAAGATAATCCTCTTTGATGGTTCCAATGGCATTGATAGCAGCTACGTCAGGCTTGACACCGAGGATTTTGAGCCGTAAACTGGTTCCCTTTTCGATGACCTGATCGGCATGATCCGTGTACTGAGGAGGTACTGTATTTGGCTCCCACTTAATATCTGAAGGAATGTTCTTGCCAACTGATTAGCATCGCCATTTCATCCTGAAATCAAGTATAGGCGACATACTTTTCGCGCAATGAAAACGGATAGAGGACCGGCCAAGGTGAAAATACCGGTGGGCTTAACGGAAGTAACGATTGCATCAACCTGAAATCAGAGTCAGAATTAAGAGGCAGTTGCGTCTGTATTCGTGCAAGCATACCGTCTCCCCCCTAAACGGCTTCCAAATGATCGCACGATATTTGATCGTGTATTCCGCTTGCCCGCTTCCTGGAAGGACCCGACCTTCACCAATATCTACCATGTCCATGACGCAAATAACGAAATGATCACCAGTACACCGGCCTTCCTCTTCCTCGTTAAGCCTATTGATCAAATACTCTCGCATATTCGGCCCAAAGTACGACGGGTGCAGCGATATCACCTTCGTCTCCTCTTTGAGGAAAAACATGGCGCAAGTCTCTTTTCAAGTCGCACAAGGTATTTATTCCCACGACAACACTCTTTTCTCAGCCCTATACGACGCAAGTCTCCGATTGAGCGTTTATGTAGTGGCATGCACGTCCGCGCTTCGACCAAAATCCCAGGGCTCGTTACTAGCGATGCTGAACAGGCAGCGGTATGATCAGGCGCGCGGAGAATTCAAAGAATCGTAGCGACTGCGGCTGGTCAAGAGTGAGAGGCGTAAATGTCTTGGGGAAGCGAAAGTTAACGATAGTGAGATCAGTCGCTCATGGTAAGAGACAGCGACATGCAAATTTGCTTTGGCAGGAAGCCCCCAAAAAAACGCTAATAGAGGGCACAAAACCGAGACATCAAGAACAGACTGGTATCAATTATCGTCAACTTCTGATAGGAACGCCAGACACAGGAGCTCTGGGTTTTAGAGATTCGGCGAAGAGCAATCGTTTCAAGTAACTGCCTGATCAACATTAGAGCTGGATGGAGTCACCTGACCTGGATGATTTGTACAATACCTGAGAGGTAACAAGACAAATCCCACATTACAGTACAGTACAATTATTTTACCTAAATCCTTTCATAAATATCTGTAGTAAACAAACAGATACAAGCTAATTACCTAGGTTGCATCCTCGGCATGCTCCCCTCCCACCTGACGTCCCACCATAAGTTGCCTTAGACGACATACTTAGGACATTACTTAAAATGTCTTATGTCTCCACCACCACGTAGCTGGCCTGATCGTAGCATCCTCGTTGCTTTGAAGCTGGCAGACCAGTATCTCCATGCTATCCTCTTGACTCAATAAGTCGTTGAGCAGGCTCAGAGGAGAACACAACAAGTAAAATGGCGTTGAACCTTGAGAAACAACTCCTTTTTGTGAGTCTCTTCAGCTTCCGTGATTGATGAACTAGTGCTTATATCTACCTACAGTATGGTGCCTATCACAACAACCCGGTAGGCTTGCAACACTCTCCATCCCCCGCAATCTACATTTAAGCTTATTCTTTCTCAGGTGAATGTGGCCATTCACATCACCTGTGTACCAATACTATTGTTCACAGGTATAGCTTTGGTAAGTTCATTAGTTCCAAACGCTGACCTCGATAGCACTGACACGCGGAACCTCAAGGCTTCGAATTCTCCGGCCCTATTCAACCTTCCTGAAGCTCTAAGCTTTGAATACCTTCCAGCCAACCTCGGCACGATCGCAGCCTTTATATATGCCACGTTTTACATACTCCTAGAGCCTGTGGCTGGGGGACTGATCGCTCCGCTCCTGATCGCTGGCGCAGCTTACGCCAACTATCTGCTGAGCACCTACGGCACGACTGTCAATTACTGGGCCGGTGGAATCCACGTTGTCTCGTGGTTGCTGCAGTTCGTCGGCCATGGCGTCTTCGAGAGAAGAGCTCCAGCATTACTTGACAACCTTGTCCAAGCATTGCTTCTGGCTCCTCTGTTCGTCTGGCTGGAGGTTCTGTTCTTCCTCGGATATCGTCCCGAGCTGAGAGCCAGATACGAGGAGAGCGTGAAGAAGGAAATTGCTGCCTTCCGGAACAAGGAGGGCGGCGCCGCGAAATAGTCTGCTGGTATAGCTTGCTTTTGACCTGAATGGTGTGCATGGCTTGACTGTATCAGCGTGGACATGGTAAGTGGCTTATGCTGTAGCTGTGGTTGCCTTATCCTTCTTGTATCGGAGCTCTGGCGCGGGTACGTCACAATGGTAAGACTATTCGAACTATTCGACATCCTTTGCGAATGCATATTAGACTCAACCCGACTTTATGTACAGCTCATGATGTATTCGTTATGGTAGCGGATGATACATTTGTTTACCCGACGTAAGCAGTTTAACCTTATGCATGGGCGGCACGGAGAGTATCGAGGAAAATACTCTCTTGAAAAGCACAAAGAGTGTATTTGGCGTTTGATACTTTGTAGATAGATGTTCCGTTTGGCTGTCCTGAATTTGGTTGTTGTGACGAAAAGACGTTGTATGACTAAGCCCCTAATATCCGCAGATCCGAGAAAACGAAAAATGGAACTGCCAGCTGTCCCCGATGGCCAAGCTCAGAGGGAACACCAATATCATCGACAATACGGAGCTTTATAAAATAGGCTTTTTTTTAATGTACAATATAGAGACATAAGAAAACGCAAGACAGTAGTGTAGAATAATTTATGGAGCGAGATTGCCGTAGGAAAATAACATCATTGACCTGTACTTCTCTGGGGGGTTGGCGTCCCGTGAACGCACTAGGGCGGCTTCGGAGCCCGTTGGTGAGGCTCGGCAAACTAGGCTTAGTGGCAGTCCTGAGAATCCTCCCAACCCGGACGACAAAGCTCTCCTTCTATCCATCCACAATCCTTTCTCCTCTGCCACCTTCTCCCCAATTATATCTCTCCTTCAGAGAAACCACCCTCCCACACCTCTGAACCCCATTCACAATGTTCAGGAACGCTTTGCGGCAGTCTAGCCGCACCGTTGCGGCTGCCACTGCCACTGGCAGAATCGCCTCGGTGAGTCTCATCCCTACTCAGGTCGACCTCATCGCATCAATATGGTCGTTTCCATCTCGAGAAAATATCTCAATCGGTGCTCGAATCGCCTCATCATACGTCGACATACTTTTCAAATTGGTTTCACGCATTGTGGTTGGATTGTGCTGGCATTGACAAATTTTGCGTCTCGACAGGTTCGCGCGGCTGTTCCCGGCCCCCTCGCCGGTGCCTCCAAGCAGGTCCGTTCCTACGCTGCTGAGGCCAAGGCTTCGCCCACAGAGGTTTCCTCCATCCTTGAGCAGAGAATTCGTGGTGTTCATGAAGAGGCTGGCCTTGCTGAGACTGGACGTGTCCTTTCCGTCGGGTATGTGCTAGATTAATGCTGGCTGAAAAATTCGCACCACGCCGCATTTTCATCGAAATCATCGAATGCGACAAACATTCTGGTGTCTTTTCAGTTATGACAATTGACTGATCTACTTTTGCCTTACAGTGACGGTATCGCTCGTGTCCATGGTATGACCAATGTCCAGGCTGAGGAGCTGGTCGAGTAAGTATCAACTTTGATGTAATGTCTGTACCTCAGATAATTGACAAATGATCAGGTTCGCCTCTGGTGTCAAGGGTATGTGCATGAACTTGGAAGCCGGCCAGGTTGGTGTTGTGCTTTTCGGTTCCGACCGTCTCGTCAAGGAGGGTGAGACCGTCAAGCGTACTGGAGAGATTGTACGTTAAGTTTCCTGATATCGTGGCATTTTACCATTATGATATACTTACAACGAGCACAGGTCGACGTTCCTGTCGGTCCCGAACTGCTTGGCCGTGTCGTTGACGCCCTTGGTAACCCCATCGATGGCAAGGGCCCCATCAACACCAAGCTCAAGAGCCGTGCTCAGCTCAAGGCCCCTGGTATCCTGCCCCGTCGCTCCGTCAACCAGCCCGTCCAGACTGGTCTGAAGTGTGTCGACTCTATGGTCCCCATCGGCCGTGGTCAGCGTGAGTTGATCATTGGTGACCGTCAGACTGGTAAGACCGCTGTTGCTCTCGATGCCATGCTGAACCAGAAGAGATGGAACAACTCTTCCGACGAGAGCAAGAAGCTGTACTGTATCTACGTTGCTGTCGGTCAGAAGCGTTCCACTGTAGCTCAGCTCGTCAAGACCCTTGAGGAGAACGACGCTATGAAGTACTCCGTTGTCGTTGCTGCCACTGCTTCCGAGGCCGCTCCTCTGCAGTACCTCGCTCCCTTCACTGGCTGTGCTATGGGTGAGTGGTTCCGTGACAACGGCCGCCACGCTGTTATCGTCTACGACGATCTTTCCAAGCAGGCTGTCGCTTACCGTCAGATGTCTCTGCTGCTCCGTCGTCCCCCTGGTCGTGAGGCCTACCCCGGTGACGTTTTCTACCTGCACTCCCGTCTGCTCGAGCGTGCTGCCAAGATGAACGATAAGCACGGTGGTGGTTCCCTTACTGCTCTGCCCATCATCGAGACCCAGGGTGGTGACGTGTCTGCTTATATTCCTACCAACGTTATTTCCATCACCGACGGCCAGATTTTCCTGGAGGCCGAACTCTTCTACAAGGGTATCCGTCCCGCCATTAACGTCGGTCTTTCCGTGTCCCGTGTCGGTTCCGCTGCCCAGGTCAAGGCCATGAAGCAGGTCGCTGGTTCCCTGAAGCTGTTCTTGGCTCAGTACCGTGAAGTTGCTGCTTTCGCTCAATTCGGTTCCGATCTCGATGCCTCCACCAAGCAGACCCTCGCTCGTGGTGAGCGTCTGACCGAGCTCCTCAAGCAGAAGCAGTACTCTCCTATGGCTGTCTCTGATATGGTTCCTCTTATCTTCGCTGGTGTCAACGGTTACCTGGACGGTATCCCCGTCAACAAGATCCTCACTTGGGAGTCTGACTTCCTTGCCAGCGTCAAGAGCAACCAGCCCGAGCTCCTTGAGACTATCGACAAGGAGGGCCAGGTCAGCAAGGATCTCGAGGCTCAGCTCCGTGAAGTCATTGTGAACTTCAACAAGTCTTTCAACGCATAGGTGAGCAAAAGACAACTGGGTGATTGATCCACCGTGTACTGTTTTTTCCTGACGCTATGTGTATAGACAAGATAGCTTGTACAATTTGATTCCACTGTTTTTCTCTTGTTTTCAAAGCTTCCGAAACGGGTTCCCCCCAGAGCAAGTGTAATCTCGGCTCGGTCGTTGCGCTCTCGCCTTTTCTGTAGCGATGAAACTCTAGGATGAATGGTGCGGAGACAAAAATCAAAAGATACGATTAATATCCTGTACGTTTAGATCTTTTTGGGCAACAAGGGAGTGGGACATGAGGGGATGATTGGATTGTCAGCCTATCCTTCAAAAATAAGAGGGTACCGTCCAATTAATCTTTCATAGTGCAGCTTCTCCGTTACCATTATGCAGCCAGAAATATGATTTCCTTTGTTTCACTACCTTTACCTAAATTCTGTGTCTGAGCAAATCGGGCAAGCTCTCTTTGAGCTTCTCGCATTTAAGCCACATCCAGATCGACCAAAGCCAAGCCACCATAAGAGCACCTCCTTAGGTACTCCGTACCTATTGACGATAATGGGTTCATCAGGATCTCGGGTCCTTACCACTATTGTCAAACTATACCCCATGCCAACTGAACAGGGACTCTATGTATGGATATTGGGGGTATATGATGTTGCTCATTCATAAAGGCGAGGTAAGCCACTTGGATGAATGATATTGATAAGTGTATTTGACTTTGAACCTCAATCTTAACAGCGATACATGGAATATATTCTTTTCTTTTGGCTCATAGGTATATCCTTCGATTTGGGCTGGTCTCCTGTTCCCTCTATGCTGTGGGCCGAATGCGGCGTCTGCTTTATCGATAAGCGAGCAATCTTTTCCGTCCCCAAAATTTGTCAATGCCCCTCCTCCGTAGTTTGATCTCCGCAAAATAGCGACTAGTTCTCGCCTGTCTCCAGACGGTATCACAGTAATCGCGCAGATGGCTACTCACACGGACTCAGTGCACCCGCCTTGCAAGGTTGTGCTCTCTAAGAACGTTGCAAATAGCCTCGTTGCGGAGGTCCAGGAAGGTGTGAAGACCTTGGAGAAGCCGCCTCATCTTGTCGGATTCCTGGCCAACGATGATCCTGCGGCATTGATGTATGCCCAGTGGACTGAGAAGACATGTCAAGAAAAGTGAGCGCCCACCCATTCCTGCATTTATATGTGCCAATTGCGCTGTTTTGTTCCTTTGGTTTCATACACCATCAATTGCGATCTCGGAGCATGGCATATGCATCGTTCTGAGTCACCTTATCGTAGCTAACGTAGAACTTCCTTGATACAGTGGATTCCGTTACTCTTTGCGCCAAGTGTACCGCGACGATATTGAAGACGCTATTCTGGCTGCCAATGCCGACTCAGACGTTGACGGCATCATCGTATACTACCCAATCTTCAATAATCGCCAAGACCAGTATCTGCAGCAGATCGTCGACGTATCCAAAGATGTAGAAGGTCTCAGTCATCGTTACATCTTCAACATGTACCAGAACATCCGTTTCCTTGACCCTGAAACCAAGCGGCAGAAGTGCATTCTTCCTTGCACCCCTTTGGCCATCATCAAGATCCTCGAGTACCTCAACATCTACAACACGATTCTACCGTACGGAAACCGGCTATTTGGGCACACTATCTGCGTGGTGAATCGCTCAGAGGTTGTTGGCCGGCCACTTGCAGCTCTGTTGGCGAATGACGGAGCTTGTGTCTACAGCGTGGACATCACTGGTGTCCAGAAGTTCACTCGTCAGGGTCTCAAAAAGCGTAGGCACGAAGTCGTGGACTTGGAAGGAAAGACAATCAAGGATGTAGCCCCTCTGTGCGATGTTGTCATCACAGGTGTTCCCAGCGAATCGTACAAGTTCGACACAAGCCTCCTCAGAGAAGGCGCCGTCTGTGTCAACTTTTCTAGCGAGAAGGTAAGCTTTCGATATTGTCTAAATGCCAACCGGGATTCAGGGAAGTTAATGTGTCGCACAGAACTTCGGCCCGGAAGTAAAAGAGAAGGCATCCATCTTCG